TACTGGAAAAAGATGGGCTTCTGATATCCAATATTTAAGACAAAATAAACCTTTTACCATTTGTACACATATTGTGTACCATAATGTGTTTCAACGCTATTTGTAACAGAGGACTAGAAGAACGAGACTAGACATATACCACAAGTCATGTCAGACGGTGACCCCATATACTTATCTGGAGAGCATGTGCAATAAATACTATCGGCGTAGACTGGAATAACCAGACACTAGAGGTTGCCATTCGGTTGAGACTTCTGGCGTATTTCGCCATACATAACTGATTTGAAATTACATTAAAAACGGGAACGGTTGAATGTAAATCAGTTTACATTCATATTACATTATTCATTGCGACCCATTTGTGTCAATTTCTAGATCCCAATATTAGCGCTTTAGCTCCTTTAAAGATACATTCTCACAAAAGTTTTATAGGGTACCGGTACTAAGTTATTTCCAATAAAAGTATGGCAAATTTGATGGAAAGTAGAGACACCCAATCTTACTAGAAAGATACTGGATGGGGCAGGCAATGGGCAAAGATGTCAGGGTATTACTTACTGTCAGTCCGATGGCTTATTGTCTGCCAGGTTATTATTTCTTGGGGAACATTGAGAGGTTTAAACGTACAACAGAATCTGCAATTAAATGGCAGAAAAATAATTTGGCAGAAGATAATCAAAGGTTTCAATATGAACGGTAAACTGACAGTAAGAAACGACAAATACATCCTGAAATGGACCCTCAATCAAGTAACGTGACAAACATGGCTTCTAAAAATGGATGTTTTGAGAGGGATTTGAAGCAAATTTTTGATAGATTAATTAATTTGAATATCTTTATAGCACAAATACATCATCACATCATACAGTTTGTACATGATGGTAAGGCATCTCTAACTTAAACATTTAAGATTTTGACTTAATTTTTAAGTTATTAACTTAAACTTTTAAGAACTTCATTTTTTTTAACATATTAACTTAAACTTTTAAGATATTAACTTAAACTTTTAAGATATTAACTTAAACTTTTAAGATATTAACTTAAACTCTGATATTAACATAAACAAACATAACTTTTAAGATATTAACTTTTTCAAGATACTAACTTGAATTTTCAAGACACTTACTTATATTTTCAAGATATTTACTTGAAACGAAAGACTACCGTAGTCTTTCATATAAAAACAAAATATTTTAGAACTAAAATTCCCGTTAACGGAATATTTGTTTCCATATTTCGCTGAAGCTTCACTGCTCCAGGGAAGCATCACCGGAGCAGTGAAGCTTCAGCAAAATATTTTTTTCCCGAAGCATCCCTGATTCAAATATCCTAAAAGGTCCCCTGATAAGTCAGCAAGACATCGCCGATGCTTCTGTGGTGCCTCAGGAAACCTTCAGGTCATCGCAAGTCATACATACAGAACCATTGGGAGGTCTCGGGATAACTGCGAAAAATTTCAAAACTTGTACTGAAAATTTTTCCAAAGTTTTCCCAATGGGAAGACATCGCCAATGCTTAGGTGATGCCCCGGGGAAACAAATATTTCGTGGAAGCTCCAGGGAACCATCGCCGGAGTTTCCTTATGGATCTAGAAAGCTTCAGGATAGCCTCTCCGGCCTGCTTTACTGACAATGCAAGCATTGAAATTTTTCGCAGGGGCGGCGACAATATACGTCCACATGAAAATGTGGGCGTATAAAAAATTTTCCAATGTTTTCCCGATGAGGAAGCTTCGGGGATGCTTCCTTGAAGCTTCCGCGAAATATTTTTTCCAACCCGAGTTATTCCCCATTTAAATATCCTCAAAGGTCCCCTGATACTTCAGCACGACATCACCAAAGCATTTGATGATGCCCTGAGGAAACAAATATTTCGTGAAGCTCCAGGGAAGCATCCCCAGTTTCCTTATGGATCTGGAAAGCTCCAGGGAAGCCTCTCCTGCCTGCTTTCCTGACAATGCAAGCATTGATACTTTTCCAGTTCTCACGTGGCCTCCTGATGGATTCACACTGGGAAACCTGTTCCTGACACCTCTCGAGGCTCATCAATTTCTATCTATAGTACATCCGCAAGGCAAAAATTGCTCAGTGGTACCTACATGTATGCATTATATAAGACAATTGTAACTGGCTTAATACGCCCTAACAAGTGTCACTACTTGAAATGAAATGAAACTGAAAATGTATATTCATTTAGTCATTGTGTGTATGAAATGGAAATGAAATGGGGTTTAACGTCCTACTACTCCTAACCTGGGCTAATGAAGACGGGCATACGCCATACAGTGTGCTATGAGGGCATTAGAATGGCATAATTTATCAATACCCGGTACACTTTGATACACTTTGTTAACACGTTTATCTAAAAGTCAAGCAACCCCGCCCCTTCGCCCCCTTCCATCTGCTTTATGAACCTGCTAGTGCTACAGGACATCTCTATAGATAAACCTGATGTGATAAATGGCATCAGATCAGGTGTCCTGGAAAGAGTAAGTATACCCCGACTCATACATGACACTTTGAAACCACCAATGGTGGCATGAGTGAAAAAAGGGTTCCTATGGATTACTGTACATCTGGGTTGTAAAAATAAAAACAGTGATTGTTGCTTAACTGATGGTTTTGACAATATCTGTACACTCCTCTCAGAGAGGCCTACATTGTTTTTTCAACCTGGATTGAGTGAGGTATTGCTGAGAAGGAATGGCCAGTACCAGCCCCTCAACCACCTTAAAGAGAAACGTTAGTTCGGGGTCCTTTCTCGAAGAGTAGGGAGTTGTAATTTATAGAGCATCCTGAAGATGTAAACGATTTTACGTGTGGCTCTTGGATAGTAAGTTCATGCACATGAAACCTTCCATAATAACTGACTTTCTTAGATATTGATCACTAATCTGGATGAAATAGAGAAGCCAAGGGGTTGTTCAAGACGGATTTTGCGACTGTCTCAATATGACTGTATCTGTGTGATGACTCCTTAATAGTTAGGATGTATTGATTCGAAGCATTGAAACTTGTATACCATCTTTCGGCCCATAATTCTAGGCTATGTAGGTCCTTTTGGAGTTTGGCATGCTCGTCTCTTGATTTTACCGTTCCATACAGTACTGTAGTCATCCGCAAAAAGGCATACTTAGGATTTGACAGTACCTGGTTAAGATGTTTATATGGCAAAGGAAAAGGAAGGTGTCTTGCAACATTTCTTGAGAGACTCTAGTGGCTTTCCACTGGAACATTCACCATCCACTACTACCCCATTATTCGGTTGCCGCATGATAAGACTTGAATGCAAGCATGGGTCCTGTTTTGGATACCATATGCCTGGAGTTTATGAAGCAATTTATAGTGGGGTACTGTAACTGTATCAAAGGCTGTAGAGAAATCGAGCCCAAGGATGGCAATAAATTAATACCCTTCTGTTGGGTAGTACCCTACTACATGTTAGAAATTGACACAAATGGGTCGCAACGCATACAATAATGTTATCTGAATGTACATGAACTGATTTACATTCTAACGTTTCCGTTTTTACTCTAATTTCAAATCAGTTATGTTCAGCGAAATACGCCAGAAGTCTCAGTCGAATACCAATCTCTAGCGTCTGGTTATTCCTGTCTATTGTGCATGCTCTCCATATAAGAATATGGCGCCAGAGCTTGACATGACTTATGGAATCTCTAGTCTCGTTCTTTCTTGTCCCTTGTTAAAACTGACACTGAAACGCATTATGGTAGGGGTTTCAGGTCAAAGTTTCAAATGACAGAAAAAAATTTTTTAAAAATATTTTTGGAAAATATACATAAAATGCTACCCAAATTTTTTTATTTCATCAAAATATTCTAATTAGATCCAAAGTTATGGAATTTTAAAATCCGAGATCGACATCAATAATGTAATCAAAATGCTCTATACCAGTCAATGCGTGGCATGGCACCAAAATAATTGCTTTTCAGTCATATTTGATTGACGTCATAAGCGGTATTTTCCCTTCAGAATCGCTAGTACCAATTTTAAAATTGAAATCCGCACTTTATTGTCAGCTAAAATTTATTAAAATCGTAATAATTTGAATGATAATATGTCAAATATTAATAATCTGGATGATACCTCAAGAAAGTTTTTTTATACTTAGTCGAAATTTGGCAATTTTCAGTCATCAAAACAGGTAAATCCCATTTTCTCCGGGTCAAATTGTCCGATCATGTGGTATCCACAAGCATAATAACCACAAAAATGTTAGCTATCATTTGATTGGTTCTATGTCAAGATCCCCCGGTAACTAAGGTGCGGATTCACCAATGAAGTGAGCCGTAGAAAGGAAAATCTCAGGCCGCGTGACGTCAGAGCGGTATTTTCCCGCGAGCCTCTCATGTAAACAAACGGTAATTTCGCTTACATTTCGATAATTTTTTAGCCTGAATCTTTGTAGATATTGAGATTGATATTAAACTATTGCAATACATTCGTTAGTAATGCATTTACATAAAATAGTAATTCAGAATCGTAGATTGAAGTGGGCTATATTTCAGCCGCTGGCTGTCCGATTTCACGCTAAAGTCACGTGACCTGAAACCCCTAATTATGGTACACAATTCGTGTACCAATGGTAAAATGTTTATTTTGTCTTAAATATTGGATATCAGAAGCCCATCTTTTCCCCAGTAAGATCACAACATCAATGTTGATTTAAATTGACCAATAACTGGTGTTTTCAATGTGGAAGATTTTGGATGATATTGAGTTAGAGACTTAGCCTTAGCTACCGGTACTTTAAACCTTTAAAAAAGTTACTGACTGACAATAGTAATTTGTAAGTTCAACCTTATAAGTAAGTTCTCATAAGTATTTTCTAGCCACGTAACTCAGTACAACTCAGACAGTGTCATTTCTTGTAATATAAATTGGGGTTTCCTTAATTTAAGGGAAATGCTGTGGAGTACGGTTAGGGACACATTCACAATTTAGACGGAACCAAAAATATGTAAACAAACTTAAACTTACCAAGACAACAGAATTTAGCACTTCTTACAAGGAATAGTCAACAATTCTAATATAAATACGATAACCTAACTTGTTTGTAACTTTTCTTGTAATTATTCATGTCGTTTTACAAAGAAAAGTTCGATTCTGTTGATATAAGCTAAAAAAAAAAAAAATCCCGTCTCCATAGGCGCTTTGCCGATACCTGCATCCTATCGTTTAATGTGAGAATTTGCGAGATTCAGGGGAAATAACTCCAAATGGGATCAGACCACATTTACTCGTGTTTATCTGTATCTGTATTATTATTATTATTATTATTATTATTACAGCATATTTATAGTGCGCCCTTTAATATAACATGTTCAGGGGCACTTTACAAAGTGACAATGTAAACCATACATAAACAACAAGATTATGGACATGTTAACAATTGTATACAGAGTCAGTTAAAAGCCCGATTAAATAAATGTGTTTTAAGTTGTTTTTTTAAAAGAATATAGAGATGTACAACATCTTAAACTAAATGGTAGATTATTCCATAAAACAGGTGCTTGATAACTAAAAGAGCGCTGTCCATAAGAGACTAGTTGAACAGTTTTTGGGCTTTAAAAGTAGTTTATCTGATGTACGTAATGTTCGGCCAGGTGTATAAAGTTCTAAAAGATCTGAGAGGTAAACAGGAGCTAAATTATTTAAACATTTAAAAGTAAGTAATAAAATCCTAAAATCAATTCGATATTTAACAGGTAACCAGTGTAAATTATATAAAACAGAAGTTATGTGGTCCCATTTCTTAGTTAAAGTAACAAGTCTAGCCGCAGTATTCTGTATTTTTTGTAATTTATCTATAAAGCTTTAAAGGTAAAGCAACTAAAAGTGAATTAAAGTTATCTAATCGGGAAGTGACCAGAGAATTAACAAGTGACTTAGTGTCCTCTACAGTTACACATTTACGTATTTTACCTATATTTCTGATACTAAAATAGCACAATTTACAAATATTATTTAATTGAGCTTCCATATTATAAGCATAAAACTATCAGATTGCGCCAATATTACGAGCAGAATAAGCTGAAAATATATCACAATTACCAATTACAACAGGGGGGTTATCATGTGCAAATTTACTTGATGCCTTGAGCCTAATAACAAATATTCGGTTTTATCATCATTCAATTTTAGGAAGTTCTTTGACATCCATTTTCTAATTTCACTAATACAGTTCTCAAGTTGCAATTTTGATAAATTGAAAGAAGATGGGCAATTAGGTGTAAATGAAATATATAATTGAGTATCATCGGCATACAAATGAAAGCTGAGACCATATTTTCTGACAATATCACCTAATGGTGACGTATAGAGGCTAAATAAAATCGGACCAAGGACAGAATTTTTTAATTAAAGGGGTAACATAATATTGTTTGAAAACGTTGGGAATAGTAGAGGATGATATACAAGAATTAATAATATTGGTAAAAACTGGAATAACTTCGTCTAGACAGTCCTTAAGAACAGAAGTCTTAACAGGATCTAATGAACAAGATTTAGGAGCAGACGATTTAATTAGCTTTAAAACAAAAGATTCACTAACCAAGTTAAAATTTTCTAAATAAACAGAATTTTCTTACTTATCAAAATCATGAGCGTTAAAGTCAATAATTTTATTTAAATCATCAAGTTCTGTTCGTATTTTCTGTATTTTTATTTGAAAGAAATCAGAGAATAAATTTGCAAGTTCAGTGTCATTATCATTGTCCGGGAGAATAGTACGCTCAGCATTATGGTCCAAAAGGGAATTCACAACCATATACAGGTCTTTTTGTCTGCTAACTGCTTTCGCCATTTTCTATTTTATCAGAGTAAAATTTAATTTTAGCATCTTCAATTAATTTATTCACATTGTTTTTTAAAGATTTATAAATCTGTTTATGGACATGTAGATTTGTTTTCCGCCACAGATGTTCAGCCTTATTACGGTTCCTTTTGGCTTCTAAAATAGAATCATTAAACCGCTGCGTATTGGGACGAATAGTAAATGTTTTCGTTTGAAGAGGAACAGGCGAGTCCAAAATTTCAGCAAGCTTTGAGTGATATTGGTTTGCCTTCTCTTGTATATCTTGAATAAGTTGAATGCCATTGAAATCCGAGTTCACTATTTCCGATTTAAATTTATTAGTGTCAAGTGATTTAAACCTTCGATATGTTACAGTCTTTCTTGTTGTTTGTGGTTTCTGGATCATAAGATTAAAAGTTGCCGGGAAATGATCAGATATTAATTTGTCCGAGACAGAGAGATTATCCAGTTTAATATCACATGGATTAGTTATCACCAGATCGAGAATATGTCCACCGTTATGAGTTGAAGAAGAAACATGTTGTGTGAGAGATCTATTATTCAGCATATCACGACGAAGCCCACTCAAGAGCGTCAAAGTAGGGTGTCCTCCCCCAGAAAATTTTGAAAAACAGACTGCCGGAAATGCTGTCTTACAGTATTCTGTCAGGCACCGATCGTCGAGATAAATAGATCTGACCAGATCACTAGTTTATCCGACTAGAGAACAAAATGTCAAACGAACGGACTTGCGAACCTCAACGAATTCCCCTTGTGAGTGCCAAAGTAGCGAGTCCATTTGGGACCTCGCCAAGAAAATTTTGAAAAATAGACTGTCGGAAATGCTCTACAACATGCAAGTTTATGACTGAGTGGGGATGTGGGATTTATTCACCGTAGAAGGTATTGATTACCGAAACGTATCACAAATACTTTTTTTTTATTTTCTAAAACTATTGGGGGGGGGGGGGCAAACAGAGGGCAGACCAGATTAATGGGGGGGGGGGGGGCAAATGCCCCCCCCCCCCTGGCGCCGCCACTGCGTTGGAATCATCAACATGAAAATTAAAATCCCCCCAAATAATAGTGCAACACTTAGTCATCATTAACTGGTCCAGAAATAATCCAAATTCTTCCATAAACTTTTGACACAATTTGCTATTGTGCGGGCGGTAAATTGTAACAATCCTAGTTTCCTTGAAAGAAAACTGTAGAGAACAATCCAAAATTTCAAAAGAATCAAAACCTTCATGACGGATTTTCTTACACTTAATAGATGACTTAAATATAAGTGCTACACCTCCTTCACGTGAACCACGAGGGCAATGTTGTATAGAATATCCATCAGGTACTAAAGCTGCGATGGTCGATGAATCCGAACAGTCATGTATGTATACAGGTTAGGGCAAACTCTGTCATAACACACGAAGGCGGGGGGTGGGGTGGGTTGGGTGGATCCGTCCTTATTGGTGTTTTTGAAGGGTTTCCTTGAAGCCCCCTACTGAATCGGCAGCTGCGATACTTTCACTAAGAGTGTTCCAGTCTTGCACCGTTTTTTATGAAAAATGAATTTTTGTAATTTTAGGTAGATGCACCTAACATTGAGATGTACTGATGTCCTTGTTTTTAGCTACGAGTACGATTGGGTGCCTTTCTAGCAAACTTAATTTTATTATTAATGCATATAACATCTTGAAAATAAGTTAATTTTATACTACTAGAACTTATTGAACATAGGCGCACCTCATTCTAGTGAAACAACTTTGGTTTATCTGCATATATTGTCAATAAATTAAATCAGGTGTGGTTTGTTTTTTTGGGTTTTTTTATCAAAATTGATACGGACATTCATAATTACGATGTATTATTCCTGCGCAACTCTTATCAGTTGAGTACTTTGGCTGTTGTACACGACGCTTTGCCTTCATTAAATAAAAGATGTCAAATTTAAAATGCCGGAGAGCCAGGCTATCATCGCTTCGATTTAAAAAGACATGATTTGTAAGGATTATGTGCTTAATTGTAGTTGAATGTGGCAGAAATGTTATAAATAACCATAATCAATCTTTGTTTTGATGAAAATTTTTGTCAATTTTGGTTATAAAATCCCGACGTGTTTCACGTTTACCAGGTTAAACTATATAACACCATCTCTTCTCTCGAAACACGGAGGGTTGAGAGATGAGGTTTCTTATCTAGATGCCTTTTCGGTAACAATTCAAGTGGTTGGTGCTGTATTTTTCAACGATTTTAAACAGGAAGACTAGCCTTGCCAGTTTGCGGCGGTCTTGGAGGCTGTCTAATTGCAACTTCTTTAACATAGCAGAGACACATCCATCTTGTCTAGAAGAGTAGTCCTTCAATATAAAGCGACATGCAAGGCGTTGAATTTTTTCAGGGCGTTGATGTCTTTGGTGTAATACGGATCCCAGATGACTGACCCATATTCGAGGGTAGAGCGAACAAGGACAATTTCTCAGGTTTCTCTTCAGTAACCCCAGGGAAGTACACCCCCAAAGTCAGATCCGATGTCCATTTTATGTACTATATCCACTGTCCCGACATTTAATAGATCTGATATCAAGTGTGTCCATTAATAGAAAGTGAACTGCTCAGCTAAGCACTAAGCAGATAACCGAGTATGTAAAAAGAGAAAGAGCGAGAGAGAGAGAGAGAGATTTAACGTCCACTCGACACAAACTATATATAAGGTCATTTCGGGACTAAAATATGGTTCAATTTTATTTCAATAATTCGCAGTAGTTATGGAGCCTGTTCAGGGACGCACGTGCTGCGCATGCGCGCACGTGACCTTGACCTTGCACGTGCGTGACCTTGCACTGAATGACCCCGTGACCTAGTTCGTCATGACCTTGCACTGAATGACCCCGTGACCTAGTTCGTCATGACCTTGCACTGAATGACCCCGTGACCTAATTCGTCATGACCTTGCACTGAGTGACCCGTTGCACGTGCAGTGACCTAGTTTGAGAAAGAGAGGGCGCGCGCGCGCGGGAAGAGAGAGAGAGAGAGAGAGAGAGAGAGCAGAAGGGAGAAGAAGAGAGAAGGAGAAGAAGAAGGAGGGGAAGGAAGACCAAGGGGAGACAACTCTTTTACATTGATTAAGTTGGCCCTGAAAAGGGCCGTTGGCCTCACTAGAACGTGAGGGTTCCTTAACAGGAACACTTCGGCTTTTCCGCCAAATACCTTGGCCGCTTCTGGCATTTGAGATGATGTTTCGACCTCTTATGATAGGTATTGGAAACATCTACGCCACACCAGTAGCAGACAAGGTAATCGACATCCGGCCGATTACCCCTAAACATGGGGTAATACCCCCCACAAGTCTTACAAA